AAAAGCCTATCTAAACCATGATATTAGATTCAGTGAACATTTTATTTTTATAATAAAGTAGAATGAACATAGAATGAACATAGCTTTTTATTTTTACTATTTATTACAGCTAAAGTTAAAAATATCCAAAAACTAGTTTTAAAAGTTTACCATAATCATTTGACAACAAATTAATAAAATTAATAATATTGTTGACTTGTATTTCAATCACTAAATTGTTAAGATCTTTATATCTTGGTCGCTAAAATAAAATAAAATAAAAACTTTTTAGAATCATTGTAACCGAAGTTTTTGTTTTCGTTCAGTAAATCGTTAAACAATTAACGATAATTGACGTGACATGTTCACATATTAATGATATACGATTGACTTAGTAGAATTCTTATATATTGTTAAAAATGTGAGGAAGTGTCGACAAGGGCAACATAAAAAGAGTGAATTCATTAATTGAACACCTTAAGGAGAAGGAGCAATTGAATGTGCTGGAAGAAATAGGGTTTGGATCGTCGATAGGAATAAGGGATCGACCTATTCGGAGGGAATTATGTCGATCATAGATGGAGCAATTCGATGTCCAACAATGTATTGCTAAATATGGTGATTATTCATTTCCTTTGGGGGTCTCATGTGCTGCAGCCGTCTTAGGGGTAGAAAATGAAGGCAAAAGTGTTGTAGAAGTCACTAAGAGTAAGAACTGGAAAGCACTTGCCTCCAAATATGATTTAAAGCACAAGGTGACATATACTGAACTTGAAGAGGAAATCAAAAGTGGATCTTACGGGGGGTGACCTGAAGGCCCAAGTTCTATTGTACCTTGTCGGGATCTTTCTTTGTCCAACGGGTGATACGTCAACGAACAAGGACAATATGAAGTTGATTTGCGATGAAGGCTTGAATGGTGAATTCAATTGGGCTGAACATGTCCATTCGAGATTGATTGAATCAATAATCAGCTTTCAAAAGGGCAGCCAGAGATACCTCAAAGGGTGTATAGCAATCTTAGAGGTAAATGAGTTTAATAACATTTTTTTAAAAATAAAATGCTAGTATATTTATTATATAAAATGATAAATTTTATTATAAATGCAGGTTGCACTATTCAATTTTTGGTCGGTCTGAATAGTGTGCCGACATATGAAAGAAACAGAGTGGCACACATCCGTGCATGGGGAAGGAAGAGGTGGTTAGAGTGATGGCGAAGTTGAAGTTGGATAGACCGAGAAAGCAAGAAATGATAATAAATGTAATTAAATAATATTAAGAATATAATCAATGTATTAATATTGTAATTTAATTTTAAAGGTTATTGGCAAGGAGGCATAGGCGGCAGAAGAGGAAGTGGAGGCAGAGGAGAAGGAAGAAGAGATGGTAGTAGGGGGATGAAGGTGAGGGAAAACGGAGTAAATTTGACATTTTGATGTCTGAATTGGCAGATGTAAAAAAATTCCTTTTTGATATTTCGTAAAGACAATTAAGAGTTGAAGAGGCAATGGAGAGGCTTAAGGGGGAAGTGGGTGGAAAAATAGATGGAGTGGTGAAAGAAGTTGTGGAGTTGAGGGGTGAAGTTAAGTTGGTGATGGGTAGAAAAATTGATGGAGTGGTGAAGGAAGTTGTGGATTTGAGGGGTGAACTTACGGGGGTGAAGGGAGTGGTTGAGAAAAACTTGGATGAATCGGAAAAAATGAAGGGTGAAATAAAAATGATGAAGAGTTATGTAGAGGAGAAATACGATGAATTGAAAAAATATGAAGAAGAAAAGATAGAGGAGAAAAAAAGATGGAGGAGGATGATGAGGAAGGATGTCGATGTGATCTATACACCGGAGAGAGTTATAGATGCATATTTGGATTCAGAATGTCTTGCACCCAAGAAGAAGAAGTAGAAGGTGAGCTGAATAAAAGAAAACTTAATTTGATTTTTATTTTGTTGTGACAAAAATTTGTATGCAAAATTGTAGGTTGAAAAAAAAACGGAAATTCCAAGCGGAATTGGTTATTACGAAGCTGCAATGTGTGAATATTTATGGAATAGTGGGTTAGAATCGTCGTAAGTGAAATATGTTGCTTTGTTAGTGATATTTAAATATTTCATGACAAAATATTAATCCTAATGCTTCATACAGACATGTTGTAATTGTAATGGGAAATCAATTCACTACTGTAAATGACATTCAAACGTTAAAGCCTATGAAATGGGTTGGTGGTGCGGTAAGTAGAAAGTAAAAAATATTAAAACCTAGTGAATATGTTCTGATTGTGTAATTAATTTTGTTAGGTTATTGATTTGCTCAGTTGGACATTATGTTACGAATCGAAAAATTTACTCGGGAAGATTGGCTACCTTCCATACCACTTAACGGTGAGTTAAATTAATAAATGTTGAAAAGTAGTGTTATAGACAGTAAATTAATAATGATTGTTGTGTAAATGCAGCAACAGACTTTGGAGGCCAACAACAACGTAACTATTTATGGTTTTGCAAGCTTTTGGGGTTCCATATTGGATGACTATGTGAAATTCACCGAGTGTGACAAAGTAAGATACCATACGAATTGCAAATGATGTTTTTGGATATATAATGTTGAATTTTGTCAAATTGGGTGTGAAATTTATTGCAGATCATGATCACAATAAACTACCAAAATTCCCATTGGTATCTGTTGGTGTTGGATATGGTAGAATGTGTTGCAACGGTATATGATAATTTGTTTTCATCTGAAGCAGCCAAACAGAGAGTGAATGGTGCTAAGAGATTGGTATGTATGAAAGGAAATTATGTAAATTATAATGCATAATTTGTTTGGATCATAACTTGATATTTTTAATGCAGATGACAATATTAGATAGATATAAAAAGGAACTCATTTGGGTAAAAACATGTGGCTATCTAGGAAAGCTCCCATTGAAAAAATTCAAATTTGTGGAGCATAAGATGAATGAGCAATTGAATGGGGATGAGATGTTATCATAAATAGAAAGTTCAATTTATGTAGGTTTTATAATTGACATGTGTGGTATTCAAATTTTGTAACGGATATGATTGCGATATTTATGTGATGATGCGGATGAAATCGATCGGTTCTAGAGGGGCAACTGGTGATTTTGTAAGCAGAATTAAAAATTAGTTTGCAGTTAAATTGTTAAAACTCTTACCTGGCTGTGGTTTACAATACTTAACGTACTGACAATTTGAATATAGTTTGTTGGACAATGGGATTGTATGCGAATATTAAACGATCTCGTAAGCCACAATCAAAATAGACTAAGAGAAGAGATGACAAAAGTTTCCATGATACACAAGAATAACAAAGGAATCGATGATGTAAATGTAGGGGAAATTTTGTATACGATTTATAATTTTGTATGTGAAAGTAATTATGTCTTTGTGTAAATCCAACATTTTGATAACCCTTTATGAGCTTTGTATAAGTAATAGTTAAATTTACAAGGTACACGGTAAAATTATACCGGTATAATGATAATATCATAAACTATTATATATGTATCAATACTTTTAAGTAATTTCATACTTATAATTCTGAAACCTATTACTTTTAAGTAATTGGTTAATTGACAATGAAAACGGTTTAATTCATTCGGTATCGTGAAAATATAAGTAAACAATGTACAAGGATCTAAGGCTCCATTTAACCCCACACACATTATATATATATATATATATATATATATTCCATACTTATAATTTCGAAATCTATTACTTTAAAGTAATAGATTAATTTCCAATGAAAACGGTTAAAGTCAATCGGTACCATTATAATATGCGTAAACAATTACCATGTTGATAAAGCTTGATAACAAATCAAGTGATTAACAGATTATGTTATCGTGGGATTCATAATGGCTCCATCAGTTTAAATTTTGTTAACATTTATTCCAAAGGTAAGCTTATCATAACTGATAACAAATTAAGTAAGTAATTACCCATTACGTTACATAAGCTCTACCTAATATGTTATTATGCTTGATAATATTTCCAGTAATTAATCGGTTATGTTATCCTTGGTAATATTTTAGGCGTTTACCTAATATGTTGTAATAACAAATTAAGTAATTAACTGATTTTATTATATAAGCGCTACCTATTACGTTATATAAGCGATGCCTAATATGTTATTGTGCTTGATAATGTTTCCAGTAAATAACCGGTTATGTTATCCTTGGTAACATTTTAGGCGTTTACCTAATATGTTGTAATAACAAATTAAGTAATTAACTTATTTTATTATATAAGCACTACCTATTACGTTATATAAGCGCTACCTAATATGTTATTGTGCTTGATAATGTTTCCAGTAAATAACCGTTTATGTTATCCTTGGTAACATTTTAGGCGTTTACCTAATATGTTGTAATAACAAATTAAGTAATTAACCTATTTTATTATATAAGCGCTACCTATTATGTTATATAAGCGCTACCTAATATGTTATATAAGCGCTACCTAATATGTTATTGTGCTTGATAATGTTTCCAGTAATTAACATATTTTATTATATAAGCGCTACCTATTACATTATATATGCGGTACATAATATGTTATTGTACTTGATAATATTTCCGGTTAAATGATATAACATAACTAGTTTAAATTTTAACCGGTCACGCCGTTTTTAACCACCGTACGTGAGTGAAAATAAAAGCAGTGTAGACGAGCAAAGGTAAACTGGAAATGAAAGGAGATAGCCGAAACAGAAAATAGAGAACAATGTTTACTGAAGACTAAACAAATATCTGAAATGGATACAATATTCTGTGAAAATGCAAGAAACGTTTAACATAAGAATGAATAGTGGACAAGCCCACTATTTATACAAAAAAGGCTAACTAACTAGCCCAATTGAATGGCCCAACTAACTAAAATTATGTTACAATAGAATAAATAATACAATTTTAATTGTTACAACTATATAATACTCTAATATTCTCCCAGTTTTTTGATGATCTGAACTGCCGCTTCAACATTTTCCTGGCTTTTTCAGACTAGCTACTGTTGATTTCTACCCAAGACTTGACACCAAGATGTGAGCACATATCACTAAATACTACAGGTGATAATGGCTTGGTGAGTATGTTAGCCACCTGTTCTGTAGAGGGAACAAAATTTACACTAAGTTGTTCAGCCAAAACCCTTTCTCTCACAAAGTGAATATCAATTTTCACATGCTTTATCCGAGCATAATGTGTAGGATTTGCTGCCATAGAAATTGCAGAGGTGTTATCACACCACACAATTGTCTTTCCAGTTATACTAACAACAATTTCATCAAGTAATTGTTCAATCCAAATCAACTCAAAAACAGAGTTAGCAAGGCTTCTATACTCTGCCTCTGATGTGGACCTAGAGACAACACTTTGTTTCTTAGAGCACCAAGCAATTGGATTACCTCCAAGATACACACAATAACCTGTTGTGGACCTTCTGTCTATTATCGAAGCTGCCCAGTCTGCATCAGTGTAGTAGACTAGGCTGAAACTGTCAGTTTGTGAGAAAAATAACCCATACTCAAGTGTCCCACTGAGGTATCTCAATATGTGTTTCACTGCCCTCCAATGTGTATCACATGGACTGTTCATGTACTGACTAACCTTGTTAACAGCATAGGCTATGTCAGGTCTTGTTAAACATACATACTGTAAGCCTCCCATAACACTGCGATAAAGATGAACATCACCTAACAACTGTCCATCATTAGCCTTGAGTTTTGGAGCAAGAACCATAGGTGTGGGAGTTGGAGTTGACTTATATAAATTTGACCTTTTTAACAACTCAGAAATATACTTTCTCTGATTTAAGAACAAGCCTTTTGGGGAGTGTTCAACTTGCATTCCAAGAAACAATTCTAACTATCCCAAATCCTTAAGAGAGAATTCCTCATTAATTGCTTGCACTACGGCATCCACTTCTATCAACTGACTTCCTGTAATAACTATATCATCCACATACACCATTAGCAACACTTGAGAACATGTTGAATTTCTGATAAACAAGGAATGATCAACCCTTGAAACAACAAACCCTAAGGTTTCAACTAGAAACTTCCTCAAAGTCTCAAACCATGCTCTAGGTGCTTTTCTAAGTCCATAAAGAGCCTTCTTCAAGCAACATACCAACTCCTTCCCATCTTCACTTCTTCACTCAAAACCTTGAGGCTGACACATATATATTTCCTCTGTTAGCCTTCCATTGAGGAATGCATTGTTGATGTCAATTTGTCTAAATGGCCACTCCTTCATGACAACAACTTCCAGTATAGTTCTCATTGTATTTGCTCGAACCACTGGGCTAAACGTCTCGAAAATATCTCTTCCCACCATTTGAAAGTACCCCTTTGCCACTAGACGAGCCTTAAGCCTGTCAACTGACCCATCAGACTTCTTCTTGACTTTAAAAACCATTTACAGCCTACTGCTTTGTGTGCTCGTGGTAGAGGCTTTAACTCCCATGTACCATTCTTCATAAGAGCATTATATTCACTATGAACGGCCTCACACCAAGCAGGATGCTGCAATGCTTCATAGACATTTGCTGGTTCTAAATGACTCGTCTCAGCAAGCAACACTCTAGGTTTAAAAGCACCAGTTTTTCCACGAGTGACCATAGGATGTGCATTCTAAACTTGTCATGGTAAAGATGGTGGTGGTGGTGATGATGGAGGTGGTGGTGATGATAAAGTAGTGACTTCAACTGATTCTGAGGTGAATGGATGAGATGGGGATGAGATGAATTGTTGTGATGAAGATGATTCATGTGATGAAGATGATGATGTTGATGGTGTAGAAGATGGTAAATTTGAATGGATAGAATTTGGAGAATGAGATGAATATGTGATGAATTGTTGTGACGGATGAGATGGGGATGTTATGAATTGTTGTGATGGAGATGATTCATGTGATGAAGATGTTGATGATGAAGCAGATGGTAAAGCTGACTTGTGATTGTGTGTTCTAGTAGGGATGAAAAGAAAGGAATGGTAAAACAAGCTATTTTGGGAACAAATATTGTTGACACTTGAGTGTTTTTGACTGTTTAATACTAGCATACTAGAAGTATTGGGATAACTTTGGTGTTGCTGGTAAGGAAATTAACTTTCTTCAAACCTAACATGCCTTGAGACATAGACACGGCCACTGGGTTCTAAACATTAATATCCCTTATGAGAAGGTGAATAACCCAAGAACACATAGGCAGAGGAACGAAACTGGAACTTGTGCTGATTATAAGGCCTTAAAAACGGGTAACATGTGCATCCAAAGACTCTTAAAAAACTATAATTAGGTGCTTTATGAAAAATCTTTTCATATGGTGATACACCAGACAACACACGTGTAGGCAACCGGTTAATAAGAAAAACAACAGTGGAAAAGGCATCATTCCAAAAATTTAAAGGCATACAAGCCTGAGCTAGCATAGAAAGTCCTACCTCAACTATCTGTCGATGCCTCCTTTCCACCAAACCATTATGTTCTAAAGTATGGGGCATGACAGTCTGTGTATTATACCTTGCTCCTTCATGTAAGCTTGAAGAGCTCCAAACTCGCCTCATCCGTCAGACTGAAACACCTTTAGCTTAATACCAAATTTCCTCTCCACCTGTTTATGAAACTGAAGAAACACAGATTTAACCTCGGACTTTTGTTTCAGAAAATAAATCCAAGTGTACCTACTGTGTGCATCAATAAATGCAACATAAAATCTAAACCCATTAGAGTAAACAGGGGCAGGGCCCCAAACATTAGATACTATAAGTTCTAGTGGTTGTTCATAAACAGTGTGTGAGTCATAGAAGGGTAATTTATGTGATTTAGCTAATTGACATGCTTTGCATAACACTTATTCTTTATTAACATCATATGGAGTTACATTGTAATGTTTCAATGCAGAAAGCAGCACTTCTTTAGAAGGATGCCCAAGTATCTTATGCCATATATCTACAGACACCCTAGCATTAACAATGTAACAATTTATTGAAGACAAAGAGCTATTATTGGAATTATTAACATGCATTTCATCATCAGTAAACATGCAACTACCATTATTATCAGTTTTATTCATGGAAATATTGAGTTTGTATAGTCCTCCATCTTGACTTCCTTTTAATAGCACTTTCCGAGTATGTAAGTCACGAACTTGACAGAAATTAGGGTAGAATTCAAGTGCAACCTTATTGTCCTAAGTGAATTTATAAACAGACAGAAGATTTTTAGTAATGTTAGGAACATACAACAACTTGTTTAAATGAAATTTACTGTAATTAGTACAGAAAAAAGACTGACTAGTGCACTGTATTAGAAGTGTATTACCATTCCCTACAACCACACTACCTGTTCCAGGGTGAGTTTCTTTAACCTGCAGGTTACTAAAGTCTTTGGTTATGTGATGAGTTGCTCCAGAATCTGGATACCAAGAATTATCATCCACTGTTTCAGGTGTAGCTTTATAAGCCTGAGATGTGACATGTGGTAAAGTAGCAGCAGGAGGCTGATTTGTAGCTCCAGAAGAAAAAGAAGGCATAGTGTGAGCATTTGAATAGATTTGATGTGGAAAATTAATATGATAAGTTTGAGGCCAAAAAACAGAAACTTGAGGCATATAAGAAGCTACAGAAACTTACGGAACAGGGACTTGTTGAACAGTAGGAACAAAAACTTGTTGAACAGCAGGAACTAAGGGTGAATGTGTATAATACACTGAATTGTAAGGGCTGAAATTAACACTGTAAGGGCTGAAATTACCACTGTTGGGATTATACGAGCTGACATTGGCTTGGACAGTGGAATAGCTTTTATTATTACTATTTTACGCAGGTCGAGATGATTCATTCTTATAGTTCATATCAAATTTGTAATAACATCTTTCAATAAGATGTCCAATTCGACCACATAATTGACACTGTGGTCTAAAGGAAGAAAACTATCCTCGACCTTGACCTCTACCCCTATTACTGTTGTTACTGTTACTAAAGTTTTGACCAGTGTTATCAATAAGTTCACCCTTATACTGATATTCAGAATGTGAAGCACTATTAGAGGTCACTTGATCACTTATACCTTGAGTCGCAATATGAGCACAAGCTGTGACATGATTAAAAGATTGAGACTGTCTAGTGTCAGCATCCAATAATATGGTGCTGACAGACCTTAGGTCTGGAGGAGTGGGAGTGGCAGTTATAATAGTGATAACTAACTCAAACTCATGTGGCAATCCATTCAATATAGCAGAGATGTGTTCATGTCCTAAAATTATCTCTCCACAGCTATCTAGACTATCACAAACATACTTGATTTTCATCAAGTAATCTCTCATACTCAACTCTCATTTCTTTTGAGAATGGAACATTCTCCTATATGACATCAACCTAGAAGTAGTTTTACCACTGTATAGCCTATGCAAAGTGTTCCAGATTTCAGCTGCAGTGTTAAGACCTATCAAATGAGGTAACACTTCCTCACTAACAGTAGAGAGTAGCCATGAGGCAAGAGCTCCATCTTGTTCCTCATACAGTTCATATTCATTGTCACAACCCGGAAATTTGAAAAAAAATAATAATTTTAATTGAATTTGGGCGAGTTAATTAAGTAAATTGGTGAAATTTGGGGACTAAATTGAAAGTTTTTTAAAACTTGTAGCTTGTTTTATAGATGAATGAAATTCAAGGACCAAGCCCTGAATTTACCCCTGGAGTGTCGACATTCACGCATTATAAGCGTGAAATTCATTATGAAATCAGAATGAATTTCACCAAATTTCCTCCCTCAAAGCCCTAACTTCCAACCACTATTTCGACGCCGTCCGACCTCTGATCGTCGATTTGAAAGCACCACCGTGTTCATCATCGAGCGAGGAACAAACCCCTTAAATTAATTGAAGTGAAACACTGCCAAACGGGGAATTTCAAGTCAAAATCTCGACATTTTTTTAGCACAATCGCCGAGAAAATCTTAAATTCATCACCGATCGTTGCTCTGTTTACTACACCTCCCGCACCATCGTGTTCCTTGTGTCGTTTCGAGTCCGTCGGTGTCATCCTTGGTCTTCGTAGACGGTGGCGCGTGGGGGAGGTGAAGCGGTCAAAGTTTCCGATTTGTTGAAATCCAGCTCTCCACCGTTCAAAAATTTGAACCGAGCTTTGTAAGTATCTCGAAATCGCTCAAAATAATTTTTAGAAATTTTTTCGTGAATTATAGGACACCGGTTTGACCCGTTTGACCCGTTTGACCGGTCTAAACCGGTTCCGAACCGATCCGACCCGACCAGACCCGTTGACCATTGACCGGCTTTGACTGCCATTAAACGACCGTTAATCTTTTCCGAGTATACCTATCCTGACATTTTTTGATGTCTCGAATCCATTTTTGGGGTCTATTTTACCAAATTCGAACCCGAAAGTCTCCAAATTGTCAGTCAAACCCTTTGACTTTGACTTTGACTTTGACCAAGAATTTAAATATCCTGAAGGTCATACTTTATGTTTTTCGACGTCCTGAATCTGTTTCCGAAGTCCGTTTTGCCAAATTATGACCCGAAATTCCCAAATCGAGCATGTGAACCCAAAAAAGGCTTAGTATTTTAATATTTTAATTATTTATTTGAGATTTGGTTAAGGAATTGATTCAATAAAATATTTTATGAAGGTACTCGTGTTTCACCTGAGCGAGGATCAGTTAGGTCCGAAGTTATTCGTTCATCAAATCAGCCCGAACTGCGTACTACAAGAATT